AATATATTTTATCCGATTGTGGCCGAGGAAAAGGAAATCTTGCGTATGTATGGTAGCTGATGTTTTATAGAAAAGCTGCGTATTTGTATGATTTTGAAGCGTCACGGCCGTAAATAATAGAAAAGTTGATACATCCTTTCGATTTTTAAAACCTAAATTTAATGAAGTATTGTTTTGTCAATATGGTAAAATTGTGTGTTTCTGAAATCTTCTAGGACGATCATCCATGTCAAATTTTGAGTTAAGAACTGAAGTTTCGGAGATATCTCCGTCTCCATCATCAGGATTGAGGCCCGCCGCGAACGCTTCAGATCTTACGTATGAAGTTCAAGTGCTTTATTGTAAAAGGTAAAATGGAAAAGCTATCCCTGGAACAGGCCGTGGAGGCCCATGGGGTTGTAAGAAGTCGAGGCTCCCTCATTTTCTAGGCAGTCGGCTCACAGATGGCGGTGTGGTTGTCCATCTTACGCGCCGGCCTCTATTTACCCCCTCCCCCAGGAAGGACTAGGTAAATTAAAAAAATCCAACGACCTCATGGGGAATGGAACCCGCGACCTTCCAGCTTATAGCATAGTGTCTGAACGAACTACGCAAACGCGTGCACATTGCTTTATTGTTATTTATATTAATTATTATGTTTATTGAAGATTCGTGTGGAAGCTTAATCGAATGTACACATCGTTACAAGCGTGGACTAGGAGCCTGTGAAGATGCGAGGCATGTAAAGTGAGGAAAGTCATTATTACAGTGTAATTTATTTGAAGATAAATCCGGTGCAAGGTAAATTGATTCTTTGGAAAGTTAATTTCTAAATCCGGAGGGTTTTTATGCAGTTGGAGTGGCGTAGCCGAAGACTGGTGCTCAGAAATCGTTTTCATTTCTCTGAAAGGGTCTTCAAGTGTTCTTGTGTTGTCAACAACCCAGTGGCCCGACTGCACGCGTAATGTGTATGTGTGACGTCAGGGCACAGCATCGTTATCGTGTCATTAGCGCCATCTCGTGACGTACTGTGGCCCCAGACACGTTCGTGTGCACTATTTTTCTCCCGCATGGTTGTTTTTATCTGCTGCTTAGAAACGGTGCTGTGACTTCTATTTATATACTGATCCCATGAGAAATACGATATCTCTGTACAAATAATTTACACGATTACACCTTAGTAATATTAAATTTTAGAGTTGATATTGGCTTATGCTAATATTAAGCGACTGTATAATTGACTGGTGTGGCTGACCTGTATATTATATGGTGCAAACATTTACTGGTAAGGCACGCAGGTTTGTCGGTACGTTGCCCACTCTTTTTGGCTGCCTTAATCTATACCAGAGATTCCGAACCTCTTCTGATTTTCTCTCTCTCTCTCTCTATGGCTCTATAGCCCTTGAACCTTGGCAGCTTTTTCGGTTTCTTAATCCTATATAGTCGATGAGTGATCAGCCCGTCGCAAGTCCGCTGCCCACACACAGAAAAACACAAACAAACAATAAACGCACAGAGACAAAGAGACATCCATTCCTGGAGAGGAATTCGAACCCACGATCCCAGTGTTTGAGAGGGCGAAGACGGTTCATGCCTTAGACGTTGCGGCCACCGTGGTCGGCTGTTCTGATTCACATGCTTAAATTGTATCTTAAGATTACCGTGCGATGGGATGTGACGCCTTGTATAGTCCGGTAGGAGTTTACTGTAGATTCGGAGGGCTCTGCTCCTTGCATGGCTTGCTCTTCGACTCTCACGATGGAGGCGATACGTCTGCATTCTTTGAAATGTCGGTAAATATCTACCAGACCACACGGTGTCACATCTTATAATATAAACTGTCACTGCCGTGAGAACCTCACATCTGACTGCATTTAATTTATGTGGTGTTTATTTATCGACACTATTCGTGACTCTATGTAGGGTCGTGTGGCACAGTGATTTCTTTTTTCTTTAGGGCTGCAGCCCCAATTTGGGCCTTGCCCTATCTCCATGAAACTCTCCGTTTCACTTCGGTTTACTAGATCTTAGACATTCGGTAGAACTCCATGGGCTCGTCGCAAGGCATCTAGCTGTACACAAACACTGAACATCCATGCCCTGGCTGGGATTCGAACCCACGATCCCGGCTTCCGAGCGAGCGAAGACAGTGCATGCCTTATACCGCTCGGCTATCGTCCCCGGCCGTCAGAGTGATTAGAGAACTGTAAATTGAAACGGATGTGGAAGGAAGCGATTGTGGTATAGGTTGAAGTTCTTTCACCTCATTTACGTTACTTAACTCAGGACAACTTGAATCACGATGGCCTGTTTCCGAGCCGAGATTTGAACGTGGGACTTCCAAAATACGAATCCTAAGTGCTACCCTCTCGGCTGTAACGGGCCTGATCACAAAGCCATAAAACGGCAGCCNATTTGTATCCCTGTGTATCAGTTTATACACTGCACGTGATAGTCTTAGATGCTGAAGTTTCCAAACAAAAATTTTATGCGTGTGTGTAGTTCCTATCACATGTAGGCCAACATTTTCTGCTCTTGAAACACATCGGTTTAATATTCCTATTAGAACTCGGCGCAGATCATAAACCATTGTTTGTACGTTTCTTTCTTTACTTTCGTAACCATTTGACCGAATTAAATGGAATTTGGTTCGAATACGTCATAAGAAGCCACCCGACCTCTCTTCCCAGACCATTAAAATCACTCAGCGTTGCAGTGTAGTGATATTTGGGAGGGCTTTGGTTCGATTCTCGGGTTAGGGTTCGGCCATTTTTATTTTCTTGTGGTAGGAAAACGCAAATGCGAGAAGTAGACCACACTTGCCTTCTTCCAGTCCGTCACTCCTATCATTTACCATTCCACTCAGTAGGCCTCTAACTATGCAGTTGCATATTTAACGACGCTGACAGTATCGAGACTGTCTATCATCGGTGATAGGATGATTAATGAATATGGAGCAGTTGGTGGTATGAGAATTGGGAGGGGAAACAAGCTTTCGGAGAAAACTTGCCCTAATTCCGCTTTCTGTACCACAATCCCAATGACCTGACCGACGATCTAACCCGGGCCACCGCTCTGAGAATCCGGCGACTAGCCGTGTTATGCAGTTGGAAAAAAGTAATTACGTAATAGATACATTTGGTGACTCTTGAGTTCAGCACGTGCTTACTTTTGATGCGAGGGAATTACTAGGTCTGTTCAGTGATGGTTCCTTGAATATTATATCCTAAATGTTTATCAAATATACAGCACATTAAGGCAATATTTTTAGCGGCATAATCAAGTCTTCACTCATTTTTGTGTTCAGTATCGAATAGTGATGAACAGCCTTGAAATTTTGCTCTGAAATGTTACTGTTTTATGTTGAAAGTGACAGCGTCCTTGTCTTTGAAGTTCCTGCTGATAATTTTGAAGTGGATATCATATACAAAGGTAAAGTTGTATAATTATATAAATCTGTGATCTTTTGTAGCTTCTCCTTACAGACATCAAAAGGAAGGTAGATTTTGTGACTTTCGCTTGAAATATCTCGTTTGATAAAGAGAGGGGACAAATTAATGATTCTGAACTGATAATGAAATGCATTCCCGAGCGACAAGATACGACTAGTTCAGTGATGTGAGTCTGTCTGTCGTGATATCTTTAGAGCGCAGTACGCAAACTGTTGCATTATATTGTATAAGCCTTAAAATTACTGCTATTTATTGCTGTGTGAAGTCGAATTTAGTGTATAGGGTTTGTGATATTCGTTGCAGTATGTAGCTGCATTATACTGTATACTGCTTGTGATATTTGTTTCCTTGTGCCCACTATGGGTTGTGATTTTTGTGCAGTGTGTATCTGCATTGTACTATGTGTGGTTTGTCATATTTGTTACCGTGTAATGCCCCAGTTTTATCTACATGTAAATCTGTAGCAGAGCGTACAGATTATGATAGCAGTTGCCGCGAGTAGCTTCTTTGTGCCATACGGTTTGTGATGTTTATTGCAGTGTGCAGTTGTAGTGTGCTGTGTACAGGTTACGGTATCTGTTGCAATGTGTATCTGTATTGTGCTCTATACGGGGTACGGTATCTGTTGCAGTGTGTAGCTGTATTGTGCTCTATACGGGTACGGTATTTGTTGCAGTGTGTAGCTGTATTGTGCTCTATACTCTATATACGGTGTACGGTATCTGTTGCAGTGTGCAGTTGTATTGTGCTATGTACAGGTTACGGTATCTGTTGCAATGTGTATCTGTATTGTGCTCTATACGGGGTACGGTATCTGTTGCAGTGTGTAGCTGTATTGTGCTCTGTACGGGGTACGCTATTTGTTTCAATGTGTAGCTGTATTGTGCTCTATACCCTCTGTACGGTGTACGGCATCTGTTGCAGTGTGTAGCTGTATTGTGCTCTGTACGGGGTACGGTACTTGTTGCAGTGTGTAGCTGTATTGTTCTATATACGGTGTACGGTATCTATTGCAGTGTGTAGCTGTATTGTGCTCTGTACGGGGTACGCTATTTGTTGCAATGTGTAGCTGTATAGTGCTGCTTGCAGGGTACGGCATATGTTGCAGTGTGTAGCTTTATTGTGCTGTATACAAGGTACGATATATGTTGCAATGTTTAACTGTATTGTGCTGTATACAGTGTACGGTATCTGTTGCACTGTGTAGCTGTATTGTGCTCTATACAAGGTACGGCTTATGTTGCACTGTGTAGCTGTATTATGCCCTATACAGGGTACGGTATCTGTTGCACTGTATAGCTGTATTGTGCTCTATACAAGGTACGGCATATGTTGCACTGTGTAGCTGTATTATGCCCTATACAGGGTACGGTATCTGTTGCACTGTATAGCTGTATTGTGCTCTATACAAGGTACGGCATATGTTGCACTGTGTAGCTGTATTATGCCCTATACAGGGTACGGTATCTGTTGCACTGTATAGCTGTATTGTGCTCTATACAAGGTACGGCATATGTTGCAGTGTGTGGGCTGTATTGTGCTTTATACAGAGTACGGTATCTGTTGCAGCGTGGAGCGCGACCGACTCCGGGAGCGGGAAAGACAGGCTCGCGCGCAGATGTCATCTCAAGCCGAGCGTGAAGCCGAGAATCTGGGGGCGCCATTCTTCGGGCCGCCTGTCAGGGTATGTTGACACACATTAATATTTTGTATGCCTAAGTTGAAAATTTAGACTCTACTTATGGGCCCACGAGAGATAATCAAAGTCTCCTTGAAAATTAAAAGAGTGAGAGACTAGTTACCATTACCTGAGTGTCGACTGGCTGTTGGCCAGACTGCTGGGAGTTCGAATCGCAGCATGGTTACAGAATTCTTTTTGCCACCACGTTTAGGCCTGGAGCAAGTTGGCTAAATCCTCGAGTTGCCTTGGTATAAGCCGGTAGATTCTCGTTAGGAGCAGGAATGTGTCTTCATAGTTCTTTGCATCCTGTTGCGTTATGTGTATAGGCTTATCAGCAAACCATCAATTTCACTTTCACTTGACCGTCAACATAACTATACACGGTGTGTCCAGGATCCGTTAGTACTTTTTTTTTTTAATTTGCCCTGAAATGCCATCTGTTGGCGAGTTGTGACTTTAAGATTCTTGAAATTCTATCTGTGGCTGTCTATAATTTCAAAGCGCAAGCATCGCTGCATCATGTGTCCTGACCTTGAATATAACAGTACTGTTCTGACCCTCGTCGGAAAATGGCGGTTGAACAGAGAGCAAGCATCAAATTTTGTTTGAAGTTAGGCAGAACAGCCGGAGAAGCGTGCGAAATGATGAAAAGTGTGTACCGTAGTGATTGTTTGAGTCGCTCGAACATTTTCGATGGTATACTGTATTTCGTGACATCAGGGAGGACATTGAAGAGGCTCCACGTGCATCAAAGCCGAGAACAAGTCGCGCTGAAAAAATGTGAAAAAAAGTGACCCAAACCCTTGCATCACACAGGTGTGTTTTTGCAAGACTCATCGAGGAGCTTTTAGGAATACCAAAAAGTACTGTGCATCAAATTTTGACCGAGGATTTGGGCAAACGGAAGGTTTGTGCGCGGTTTGTACCGCACGCGCTGTTAGGCGATGAAAAGCGTGCCAGAGTGGGACACTGCAAAGACATGTTACGGTCGGCCCAAAGTGATACAAAATTTATGAAACCCATTGTTCGATTCTTCGAATTCGACCTGAATATCGAGAGCAAGGTTCCTGGTCGCTCCTCCACGACAATGCCCCACCCCACAAATCGAAGATCATGCGCGATTTTTTTGGCCAGAAGAGGGATCATAGGCCTTGATCATCCTCCGTATTCGCCAGATTTCTGGTTGTTAACAAAAGTTAAGTTGGCGATGAAAGGAGACCGTCACGACACCATCCAGGACATCCAAAGGGAATCTACCGCAGTTTTAAATGCGATTCCACAAAAGGACTACAGTGACTGTTTTCGAAAACTTTTCAATCGATTTCAGCTATGTATTGATTCAGAAGGAGACTATTTTGAATAAAAAGTCTGAAATTTTGAAAACAATTCACGTTTTATATTTTTAATTAACACAGTCCTAACAGAACCTGGACACACTGTGTATATCTTGGTGTCGAATGTATTTATTATTAAATTAATTCCATGACGTGTTTCGACCAGTGTTGATCAACTTCACAGAAACAATCTTCAACACCAGGCGGCAATGCATAGCTGCGTATATACACCAGAGAAACTTACACAAACGACTCAGATTGATCACGCCATCATCACATAAAATGTCAGCAAGGGGACGGTACAGCATGTTATAAGCAAGTCTTAGACTGCATTCAGTGCACTGAATGCTGTACCGTCCCCTTGCTGACATTTTATGTGATGATGGCGTGATCAATCTGAGTCGTTTGTGTAAGTTTCTCTGGTGTATATACGCAGCTATGCATTTCCGCCTGGTGCTGAAGATTGTTTCTGTGAAGTTGATCAACACTGGTCGAAACACGTCATGGAATTAATTTAGTAATAAATACATTCGACACCAAGATATACACAGTGTGTCCAGGTTCTCTTAGGACTGTGTTAATTAAAAATATAAAACGTGAATTATATATATATACACACACACACAATTTTATAATCTATTTTCACATTCCGTTATAGAACACGAATAGCTTACACACAAACCATAAGAACACACCACAGACACCAAGTAGGACATCACCATAACATGCATCCTGTGCCAACTCATCTCAAACTACGATGAAATTCCATGATATCATATACACAGTGGTAATGATATTACTTTTTTTTTGTTGCTAGTGGGGTGGGACCAAGTCCCTTGTACTGCGGCCACTTCTGGCCTATTGTACCAGCCCCAGATGATAGGTGAGGGTGATTGTGGAGCAGTGGGTGGAATGAAGATTGGCAGGGAAAATCGAAGTACTCGGATAAAACCTGCCCCAGCGCCACTTTGTCCACTACAAATCCCACTTGACCAGACCCGGGATCGAACCCGGGCCTCCCCGGTGGGAAGCCAGCGACTAACCGCTTGAGCTATGGTGCGGCCAGTATCTATCTAACTTAGGAAAGCTGTAGCTGGTTTCTTCGTTAAGACAGTGAAATGCAATACAGTTCAGTAGTTATGACCAGCAGTGGTCGAGACATGTAGTGGAATTAATAATACATTAACAAACATATTGAGCACCGAATAAATAGAGTCCCACATTTCATTCGAAGTGTATGGTTAATCCGAAGGGGAATCACAACAGATTATTGAAGGTCGCGGTGTGAGGGCCGGATTTTATAGCCCACCCCTTACACACACACATACAAGCTAGCTGTGATTGTGATGGAAAGAAAGTGAAACACAGGTGTTGCTTATCATCATGTAGGGAAGTATGTCTTGGCCACTGCTTTCGGACTCGAGAGACCGCCTGTGGGCGGGACTACCCGGGATCAGTTTCCTTGTACGAGTAGGAATGGGAAATTCTGGTTTCTTCATAACGATCGCACTGACCCAGGGAACAACGGAGGCTCCTGTGCAGTGAGAACCGGAGGCTTTTGCCCCTTAATAATGCTGTTGAAACATGAAGCATTACCTCCACGTCCCTATGCTTGGAGCACTAGCATGTCGCTCCTGATGTTACATTTCTAGTCCCGTCCCTTAGAACTGGCGGCTTGGCTTTCAGGGTCCCTTCTGTTTTTGTATAATCCCACGCTTTCGCATGCAACATGCTCTGCTCATTGCGTGCTTCATTTTGGTTTCTTGCTTGGGCAACTCATGAACCCTGAAGATGGAGGCGGCGTCTTCTTCCGAAACGCCTGTTGATTTTTAACGGACTACATAGCTATGGGTTGGACGGCCAGGGTTCAATTCATGGCCGGAGCAAACACGTATTTTTCTTCTCCACAGCTTCCAGACTGGCTCTGGGGCCTAGCCAGCCTCCTATATAATGGGTACCTCAGGCACTTTCCCCGTGGGGTAGAGCGACAAGGGTGCGGAGCTGATCACTCACCTCCATCTAATGTCGAGGTCAAGAATAATGGAGCTGTACGTTCACTCCCCCATACATCTTCTTGGCGTGGTTCTTAATTAATTAAGAACGATGACAACTTTGCCATTACACGGCGTTATATTCCAGAAGATAGAAAGTTTTCATAACAACTGAGTATGATTGCAGTGTTTATAAGGCCCTACTACTCGATCGTATCTTCAGTCAGTTCAACCCAGTCTGCCTGTCAGTACTTTTTCCTGTAAGGCCCATTTTGATGTTAAACTCCGGTGAATACTTTGTCTTCCAAGTGATCTATTCTGTTGGGGTTTGTGTTTCTCACTTCCCTATGTATAGCGCGTACTGCCCCTCCAGTAGGTCTGTTTAAATGAATTCACCTTTCTCAAAATACTATGTATTTCATGGAATAACACAATGAAAATTACTGGCCACAGACTGAATGACAAGGGACATGACAAGGAAGTAGTTTTTTTTGTTAGTTATCACAATACTACCAGCTCTTGCGAACCCAATCCTCCATACAAATCGTGGAGATAAAAAGGCCGGAGCGGGAAGTTAGCACCCACCTACGTCTTGTACCTAAGTTAAGATATTTGTATAACTTTCCATTCGCTGTTCTCCTTCATAAAGTAGCGTAGTCGGTAAAGCGACTGGCTGCGGGCTGGACGGCCGAGGAGTCGGAGTTCGAGTTCCGGTAGGGTCAAGAATTTTCTCTTTTCTACGTCGTCCGGACCGGCTCTGGGCTCCACCCAACCTCCTATTCAGAGGGTACTGGGGGCTTTTCCCCGTTGGTAGATCGACCGGAGCGTGAAGCTGACTACTCACCATCAGCTAGTGCCGAGGTCAAGGAAGCGTGGATCTATACAGCCACTCCCCCAGACGCCTTCATGGCGTAGTGCTTAATACGTAGGTCGTACCGAAAGTCATGAGCAACTTTTCTTTGCATGCATCCTGGGAACAGCAGACGAAAGAGAGTACGGTGGCAGGTGGAACCAGCTGTTGTGTTAACCATGAGTGTCTTGTGACGTCAATTGCTTGCATCACATGACCAGTATCACTCCTAACAAAATGGCCGACAACGATATGTCGTTTCGCCAGCGTGCTGTCATCGACTTTCTTGTGAAAGAGGAAATCCCTGCTGCAGAAATTCACCAGACTTCAGCGTGCTTATGGAAGTGTGTGCATGGGTGCGAGCAGTGTTCGAAGATGGGTGAAACATTTTAAAGATGGGAACACCAGCATTGAAGATGAGCCTCGGAGCGGTCGTCCTCGAACAACCTCAACTGAACGCAACAAGGAAAGAGTGGATGAGATCATTCAAGATGACAGGCGTGTGACTGTGGACACAATAGCCCGAAAACTTGGGATAGGACACAGTGCAGTACAGGAGATGATTGAAAGTTTGGGCTATAGGAAAGTTTGTGCTCGTTGGGTCCCACGGTTATTGACCGAAGACCACAAAGATCAGCGAAAAGCCATCACCTCAGAACTGCTGCAGAGATATCGACATGAAGGCGATGATTTTTTGCTCTGTATTGTGACAGGTGACGAAAGCTGGTTTCACCATTTCTAGCCTGAAATGAAACGGCAGAGTATGGAATGGCACTATTTGCATTCCCCATCAAAAAAGAAGGCAAAGACAGTGCCATCAGCTGCGAA